TCTTAAGAAAATTATTGAACGTTTTTGATTCTCAAATAAAGTTTTTTTCATAGTTCTCTTATATTATGTAAATTCTTTTAAAATATATCTCTTGTTTATTAGCTCATATAGTTATTTCAATTAAGTGGAAATGTTGTTTATTGATCTTTTTGGCCATTACTATTAGTGATTCAATATTTACTGTGTTATGAACTATCGAAAAGAAGAAAGTATCATGTTCATTATAATTTTATTGATTCTCTGACGTTACTTGAAATATTATTTTCAATTTTTATTAAATTAAATTGTATTATATTATATTAATATATTAATATTAAATTTTACTTGAATATATTTATAAATTCATAAGAATGTTACCTTTACGAAAATAGAAAATTAAAAAAATTAATCAACAATTAATTAACGATTATGAAAAATAATACAATTTCATTATCTTAACTGTGCCTAAGGTGCATATGAATATTGTAACAAGGAAGATTATCACATTTGTATTAAATAAATTAAATTTAAATAAATCTAAATAACATAATTATAAACGATTATTGAAACTGTTGTTATTATTGCAAACAAATATTATTATAAAATATTATAAATATGTTTAAATTATGTAAGCAAATTTAATCAAGAAAAAAACATATTCAAAAATAAGTTGTTGGTACGGATGTTTTTACTTTTGCTCTGTTTTTTAAAAACTAATTTCTATTAAAAGTTTTACAATTCATAATAGCGATTAACATTATTGGAATGTTCAAATAAAATGTTTGACTATATTAGCATTTGATTATATGAACTCCAACCTTCTAAAATGTTCACGTATTAAAATTCTTAAAAGATAAATCGTAATGATATAACTAATTTCTCTTATATTCAAATATGATCTATCCATTATTATTAAAAACTGCTTTACGTCAATTCTAAAAAATAATATATAAAACTGAAAGTTTAAATTGTTTTTATGTCTTAAGAAATGATATTACGAGTATATTGATCAAATTACTATCGTTTTCTTGTTGCACCTTTAATTTTAATATTTATATTTTCAGTTGCTGATTTGTATACATTTTTAATTATTAATAGTAGTCCTTTTCAAACATATTTATAGCCTATGCTTACAGTTACGGTGCATTAAACTTTTCAAATTATGTGTACATAATGGTTACTTTCTCACTTATAAAACAATTATTTTAAGTTTTAAGAGTTTTTTAATATAAAGGTAGTAAATATATTTTAAATATGTTAAATATATAAATAAGTATAAAGATTATTTCTATTAGAAATCAAAAATAAAATTTATTCCGATACATGTAAAAAAAGTATTCAACTATAAATTTCAAATAGTTATTATAGAATTCTGGGTAATTATTTATATATGCAAATTGTGAATTAATTTTATATATCAAATTATTTTATTATATATTACTTAAAAATTAATTCTGTTATGAATATATTTCATCTTTTTGGATATTATTAAAATTAACGATTATATTTTTATATATATCCACATCGCAAAGTTCAAAAACAGCCTCTTACAGACATTTAAAATGATTTAAATATAATGTTTAAAATAATTGTTTAATATTGGTATAATTATAGATATAATAAAAAAACACATAAATGTTAAAAATAGAAATATTTCAGATATGATTTTATAAAAAATATATTTATTAATTATTAAGAAAACTACAATAAAATAAATTATTTTTTAATATATATTTATAAAGCTAACCATGTATATTGGAAAGTAATTAAATAATAATATTAACATCATAAACTTAAAAAACATTTAATAAATTGATAATATAAATATAAATATTTTACAATCTTTTCAAACGATTGAAATATATGAAATCTTGAATTAAAAAAAAGATATATATATATATATATATATGATATAATATAATTGATCAAACGATCTAAATAAAATATTATCTATTTTTATTTTACTACAAAATATTATATAATAATTATTAATTATGTTTTCTGGAAAATTTTTGACAGCGTATATTTTTATATATTTAAAATTTTAAACTCGAATAAAAATTCTTATGATAGAATTGTAATAAAATTCTTTTTGATTGTTTTTATATTTTTTATTATTATTAATTATTATTATAAAGTTTATTTGATTTCTATTGTATTGAAAATAATCGTATAAATGCATAAGGTACTTCATTCTGTTTCATAAATACAAGTTTATTTTATAAACTTGTATTTATAAAATTAAATATTATATTTTATAATATTTATTATATTATATAAGTTATTATATAAAGAATAAATAAATTAACAGTTTTTATGCAACTTTATTTATATGTACATTATTTTCAAACAGCTAATTATTCTAAAAGTTAAAATCTTGAGATTTATTTTCGCAAAATCAAGCAGTTTTTATAGTTATAAATATATTATAAAAATTAAGATATAAAAGTTAAAAAAATATTAATATAAAGTATTCACGTACAAAATAAATATTTTAAGGTTTCCTTACACCGGGAAAATAAATTTCATTATTTTTTATAATAATAACCAAAGATTTATTTTATTGACATTTTTGAGTATTTATTTTTAATGCTTCTCTTGTCAGTATGATTTTTAAATATAATTAATTGAGACAATCTACTACATTTTCTAGAATCAAAGTCAATGGTTATTACAGGTTTTATCTTTATTAAATAGGACTTATTGATAATTTACTTATGTTTAATTTTAAACATTTTTATAAAATAAATAATAAAATTTAATTATAAACCAAAGACAAATTTCAGTATAATAGAATAGGAGCATTATGTGAATGATGGACATTGATAAATTACTGTTTCCTATATTAGTTATTCCTGCATTAGTGAGAAGTTTTAAATTAATAAGAACATGTAAGTATACTTTCAAATTTTCAAGTAGAATTCACATTTATTTTCCCAAATATTATACATTTATTTATTTTTTTTTACTTAAAAGATAGATATGTATATCAGTAAATATATATTATTATCATTTTTTTTGTTTGTAGGTAGTCCATGCAAATTATTTTAAAATTATAAATATTTTAAAAGTGTATAGAAGCACAGAGTTTGTCAGATTTAAGGAACGATTTTTTTATTTATCCAGTAATTAATAACTTTATTAATAAGATTATTATTACTATTGATTAAAAATTAATTCATTAAATGAAAGGATTAAATTAAGATTCCAGAGCTAAATTACGTTGATATAAAAGTTTTGTGTAATTATTGATATTGATTAATAAATGTCAATTCCACAAAATAAATATTAAATAAAAATATTTTTTATAAAAAAATATAAATATAATTGTATACAAATAAATTTAAAAAAATTATAATATGATATTAACAATCATTAAATCTCAGATGTAAAACGAAGGTTTATTAGGTTCAATAAAACAGTGGTAAAAAGAAAACATGAAGCAAAAATGTTCTTTCGGTCCTTTATTGTCTAATACTATAGAAGGCTGGCAGCTCATTTCGTATCTATAGTTCTATTCTGTATCTCTAGAGAGAAGAATGAAAGAAGCGCTACTACTAAGGTCCCTAGAGTCGACGAATGGGGATAATTCAATTTGACACCCTACCCGTATTTAACCAAAACAGTAGCATCAGTCCCTATTTGTCCTAAACATAACCTATAGCAATAACAGATTTCCCCATGTACTTTAACAGTCGTTCAAATTAAATTCTCATCTGCCGTGAAACAATAATGTCAAAAATAAAAAAAGTAATAAAGAAAACAAAGAACTTTTATAAAATATGAAAAGAAGATGAATTATAATTACAAATATAAAGTTATCAATCAACATTATGCATAATTAGAATTTAAAAAATGAGTAGAAAAGTGTTATAAACAATTAGTAAGAAATATTCATGTTTCATTAGACAATTTTTTATTTTCATAATTATATATATGTTTTCCCTATTGTTTTATTGCTATTTAGTGTGTTCGAAAATAATTATATTGATAAATTCTAACAAATAGACCTGCAAAAAAAGGAAAAAAATTATATATATATATATTTATTTATTTTATCGGTTATTAAAATTTTTTCTTTTTTTTATAGGTCTATTCGTTAGAATTTATCAATAATTACTTTATAATAATAATTTATAATTAATTAAATTTTTTTTTAATTGTACAAATTCAATTGTTTGAATGTCTTTTAAAGAATGATATTAAATTTGACTTAATATGAAATTACTTCAAACGATTATGTTGGTGCAAAAGACTGTATGTGTAACTGCGTGTAGTCAATTTGATAGTAAGTGCCGTATCAATAAGTATTTTTGTTTTTTTTTATAGATAAATTAATTTATATTCATTAAATTTTCTAATAATTACAATAATTTTAGAATATAGTTTTAGTTAGAATCTGTTAAGTAATAAAAACTATTTATAAAGCCTTTAATGACTATAGTTTATTATTTGTTCAAGAAATATTACATTTGAAATGTAATCAAACCTAAATTTGCTGTTTTAAGTTTCTATACGCATAATTTCAAGTTCCTATTTCTTCAATATGAAGAATGTATATAGTATCGAGTAGATATACTTTATTTTTAAACTAATATAAGCATTTTATTAGATAAAGTCTTGTTAATATTTAAACATTTACAGAATATTTTAAAATTATTTATTTTTTATATTTATAACAAATTAAGATATTCTATCAATGTATTTTTGTTTAAAATATTAAATTTCTTTGAACTCAGTAATTTGTTGAAAGATAATTGGTCAAATCAACTATTTGCAATAAAAGGAATCATGCATTTATCCGACATATAATAACAGATATATATATTTATGTATAATATAATATAATAAATACAATGTATTAAAAATTCTAATATTATTGTTATATACTATGCTTTTAATGCTTAATTATTTATAGAATGATGATAACACATAATTGATTTGTAGACACCAAGTTAAATCAATTATTTATGTACATGATGTAACTGAAATGTTATAATATTAGTCGATTTCATTTAACAATGGAGAGTTCTATAATTACGGCTAAGATTATACAAAAATTTCCTGAGTCATCTCAATTACAATCAAAATCAAATCAGGTAATTCACTTAACTATTTTTATAGTAATTTTTAGTTAATAAACTAAATAAGATAATTTTATTTTTATAAAATAATTATACATTCACGTAATGAAAATTAATTTTAACCATTACATTTAATAATGTCTATAAGAATTTTTTTATAAATATGTGTTTATGATTTATATTAGGTATTACGAAAGTAATACGAAAAATATTACGAGTTTTACGAAGTTTTACAGTATTACGAAAAATTATATTGCATGAAATTATTGATATTGTTTATTTATTGAATGTGCAAAATAATGCTCGGCTACCTTTTTGCATACTAATTTAATGTTATAGCTACTAAATATATTAATGCATTAGATTTTATTATTTATTAACATAATTTAAATTTTATAAAAATCAATCAATTATATATATATATATATATATATATATATATATATTAGAATTATTAGAATATTTTTAAAAATAATTGTCTAAATATATATTACTAGTTTACTTTTGATTTGTTTTTAGTTTGATAAAAATTTACAAATGGAAATAAAAATAGAAATAATAAAATTCAAGATGAAAAGATAAATTATTATAATATTTTTATAATTATATTCATGAAAAGTTTTATAAATTTAAATCGAAATACGAAAAAATGTGAAATCTGACAAAATCTGACGAAATCTGATACACAAAATGTGCACGTTGAAATCATATGGAAATATATATGTAGAAATAGTGCATTAATTAAGATATTTACAATTAAATAAATTAATGAAATATATATATTTCTCAATTACTCTTTCGGTAACAAAAAAACAATTAAATAGTAACTCTATGAAACTATGTATAATTGTAAAATTAATAGGCATTTATTAGCTCTCATTAAAAAAAATATGTAAATTAATTAAATTACACACCTCCTCTTTTTAAATATATTTCTGTTTAATATTCTCAATCTTAGCCTCAGTTGTTGCCGTAACCTTATACACTTAACCGTCCATTTTTATTAGGCTTTTTCACATTCGAGAAATCCTTTTCTTTCAAGGTTGGTTTTTGCCGCTACCATTTGTAACAAGTGTTGGATTTAACTAAATTCTTCTAAATCGGTTGTATAAAGTATTAAATATGTAAGTAATGTGTAAATATACATAGATAAATGTAAATAAATATAATAATGATCTTACTGCTTGTATATGTGTTAAAATTTAAATATGACCAAGTTAATTTATATCTTAAAGTATATTTAACGTTCCAAAGTTAAGTTCCAAGTAATTATAATTCTACTGGTGCAAATACAAATATGAATATGCAAGTACTATTAAAAACGTAAACATTTTTAATTATAGGTGTTTAAAGTCTTTTTGGATGTATTTAACTATCAAATCAGAAGTCTTAATAAATAAAATATTTCTTTTATTATTATTTTATTACCAGTTTCCATTATTTAAGTTTTAAACCTTCATCGTCAAATAAATCTAAAATCCACCTTTAGTCTTCTCAACTTCAACAGAAAGAACAATAATTTTTAAGAATCTTTAAAAGTAGTACAATATATAACAGTATTTCTTGTTATTAATTTTATTTATATAACTATAAGATTTTAAAATAATTTTAATTTAAAAAGATAAATAAATAGATTGAAAGTTAAATATTGTATTATTTGAATTATTATATATAACTATATTTAATAGAAGCTCTTAATAGTAAAATAGCTTCTTTTCCATCCGTATGACTATTTAAATTTATAGTTATAATATTTTATATTCAATATTTGTTATTCTTCTCTATTTGATCCTACTCCTTATTAACTTATCAAATTACTTATCAGTACCCTAGTTTAATTTATCAAGCTTAAATTATATTATTATTACTTATTTTTAAATATCTTAATTCGATATTTTATACTAAGAAACATATTGAATTGTTGCATATGTAACAATAGACGTATTAGTCCAAGTATATGAAGTAATCAAGTTTTAATCTTAAATTAATCTTAAAATTAATGGGTTTTAATTAGTTTTTCATTGATTTCTAAATGCAAACTTTACACAGGCTTTCCATAATTTTTTGCAAGTATCCCACTTCCTTGGCTGTTACATTTAACGTGATACCCATTCATTATTAATAATGCATGTGTCATTAAAATGTCTAAAGTTCCTCATAACTATAAGAATTTAATATTTAAAGCCCATATTTATTACCTGTTTATCACAGAGGAGCTATAGGCACTAATTTATGAAATCATAGATATAAATTAATGTTAGCTAACCCTCTTTAAATTAGTTTTCATTTATTATTTATCTATACGAGAAATATAAATAGACTTCTAGATATTAAATAGTTGTACGTCTGCTGATTTATATTAAACTTTCGTCGTGCCAAATTATGAAATTATCTAATATCTTGTCATATATTTTACATTATATGTTTTAATTTTATAATAAATTAAACTATTTATATAATCCCTAGAATCTTTATTTTAGAACATTTTTATATTTCTCTTAGAATATATTTTATAATTCATTACAATAAATTTGTAATTAATTTAATCACTTACGTTATAATTAAATATTAAACATAAGACGTTGCATATCATTTTCATCTAATAAAAATTTTTATCTAAATTGTAACAGAATAAAAAGATACTGAATTTCAACACAGATTTTTAAGTCGAAATTAAAGATTGATTCAACTGACAAATCGTCTCAATTCATTTTACAATTTTTATTGTCTCAATAAAATGATATGCAACGTCTTATGTTTAATGTGATTAACAAGAAAAAAAATATACACTTGCACTTGTTAATCTTAATATAATTAACAGATTTACTTTAAGGCATATTTCTTCCCTTAGAATCCCATTTAATGACGTTAAAACTATTTTATTATACTATCTAAATCTATATAATCATAGGATAATTGTCACGAATCATTACTATTATATTTAATGATAAAGTTTAATATATTTAAAAGTTTTCCAAAGATGTTTAATTGATGTAAAGTTGGATAAATGTTTTTAAATACATTTTATATATATTATCTTCATAAATAAAATCAATATGAAAATTATTGTGCATTACACATTATTATTTGATATCAGAATAGTTTTATTTAACATTATAGTATATTTCCTAATAGATTTCAATTTATTTACTGATATTATATTCTTAAAAAATGTTCCATTAAAAAATAATATATTCTAATTAAAATTTATTTATTTTTGACAATTTAGAATAAATCTAAATAAAAAAGAGATTAATAAATTATATTTAGACAAGTTAATAAATATAAAATTATACACCTAAAATTATGTAACAATTTTTATCGAGAAATCAGAAAAGAAAATCAAATAATGCTTTAATAAGTTACTAGTAATTATTTATCACTTCTAAAATTAAATTAGTATTCTTATTTATTATTATATAACATCTATATTAGTCATATATCTGTAATCTTCAAGTATGATATTACCTGAAGTATTTGTTTAAATGTATTTATGTTTCATAATTTTTTAAATATTGATTTAATATATTTAATATATATTAGAAATATTAAAAAAATGATTAATGACATTTTTGTAAGTTTTTTATGTATAAAATATTATATACGTATTATTTATTTATAACTGTTACGTAGAAATAACTTTTTTCGTAGAATAATTTTTTTTCGTAGACTAATCTGTTCTTAAATAACTTAAAAATAAAGTTATACATAATAAACAGGTAAATAAATCTTAATTAATTAAAAGAATAAACAATATTATTTACAATTCGTATATATTATTTAATAAATATTATTTACAATTACTGTTCAGTCTAAACTAGAAAATTATATTTACTTTATTTATTTACTATAATGTATAATGTATATAGTATAATGTGTAATCAATGTATAATAGCTAATATCAGTATTATTTCTAATTATCATTTATACGTAAACTTTTTTTACTAAAATATAAAAATTTTTCACATTTTAATATAGGAACAATTTTAAAAGTTGATGTTGACGTTACTTTTATTATCCGAAAATCAGTACTATAATTTATTAGTTCTCCAGTTTTAATTTAATAGACCTTTTCAATGATGTAAATTAGAAATTGAATTTTTTGCTATCATTTAATACTATTATGTATTTTTTATTTATTTTATTTATTTTTTCTATCATAAATATAACTTTTTAATGTAATTACAATTACATATTAAAGTAAAAGATATTTTTTAAATTATGTATTTCAGAAAATATTAAAGATTAAAAACAATTATATATGAATCGTAACAAATTAGCTAGTGACATACATTTCCAAATTATTTAATTAATTATTTAATTAAATTATTATTTAATGCGCTTTTCGATAATTATAGGAACACTACTATCTGTTTAAATCTTATATTTTTTATAATACCAATTTGTTAGAATAATTAAATATGTATTTAGAAGTAAAGCATTGAAAACCTTTATTAATAATAAATTATTGCTGCCAGTGCATCGATACCTTGGATGATAGCGCAGGCAGTTGATACATATGTTCTTCTCGGTTACAGACCGCTTTCCGTTCTGTAACCAATAAATCGATGAATTTTTTGCATGATGGCAGCGTGTGATCACCTTGACAACAAATGCATGTTGTGGTGCGGTCTGAAGCTTTTGGCGGGTTGGATTCTTCAGCCTGTATAGTAGACTGATAGGCCCGTACTGGCTTCCTCTTGATGGTTTTGAGATTCTGTGGTCGACTACTAGTTGGTGATGGCCTGCTGTGTTCCAAGGCTCGTATTCTGGCATTTAAGAAGGAGTTGAATTGTTCGAATGTGGGATACTTGGATGTATCACTTATCGAACTCTCCCATTGATTCCACGTATACTGAGTAAATCTCTTAACAGTTTTGTATACCATCATACAATCCCATGGATCAGTATCGATTTGGGGTTGTCGCAGTTTCTTTAGCATGTCGCTACAGTTACCGCGAGCATCTTCTATGTCGCCTGCATCATCTTTCAATGGGGGACAGTCAGAGCAGAATTCACTGATATGAGATTGTATTATTCTGTGAGGGTCCTCAAACTTTTCTGACAGGGTCTGTCATGATAGGTGGAACGAATCGTTTTCAAATCGAAAGCGTGATATAGTCTTGGCAGCTTTACCTGTCAGTGATCTTCTTAGATAATAAAGTTTTTGTACATCGCTATATTTCTTTTTGTTAGTGACTATTGAGACAAATAAGTCTCGGAACATGGGCCATTCTAAGTAGTCGCCTGTGAATTTAGAAATTTGGATATCTGGTAAGCAGCTCATGTCCATTTCTGTTTTTATCCCGGGTGACCTTCAGCACTGTATTGATTCCTTTGCTTCTTTCAGCTTGGATATCAAGTTGTTGAATTTTGAACTCACATCTACATATAGATTGAATTCATCTCGTTGGACGTTATTTATGAAATACTCATGTGAATCCATTGCTATCGACCATGTTGAGTCCAGATAGATTTGTTCCTTAATAAATGTTTTGTGTAGTTTATCTAGTATTCCTTTAAGACCCATTGTTTCCTCTAATGTTGTGTCGGAATGACTTGTAGGGACACGTAGTTCTAAATCCTTTAATGAATCTATTCGAAGGCGTTGAGCTCTGGTCTTAGCGTTGAGCTCTGACGGATGTTTGTCCTTAATGCTACTGCGAGTTTCGTGTGGTTTTTTATCTTGAGTGATGGATACGTTAATATTGGTTTCCTTGGGTTGGCTTTTATCTTGGTATGACATTTTCCTGAAATAATGTAACGTTAGAAAATAAAAATTGTTGTTGAGTACTCACTTGTCCTGGAGATTCAAGAGTATTCCTTGATAATGTGTAGTAATTATTAAGTCTTCTTTATATAACAGTTCTTCTTGTGTAAATACTGATTAATATAATAACTTCCGCTTGTTCGGCTCAGAGGACAAATGTGTGTTGACCCCTTTTCTCTAGCTATCCGGCTCGAAGGACCAAAAAATGTACAAAATGTATTCGCCGTTCTGGCTTGTTTTACGAAGACCGGTTCGAAGGATACAAATTGATGCCGTTGACAACTCTAAAAAACTACTGTGTAAAAATAGCCGAATTAAACGTATATGTTTTTAAATACATTGATATATATATATGATCCATTGATAAACTTATTTTTAAACATTAAATAATATAAAATCACTGTACAAAATGTATTCGCCGTTCTGGCTTGTTTTACGAAGACCGGTTCGAAGGATACAAATTGATGCCGTTGACAACTCTGAGATCACGGATGTTGTGTGATAGCGATGAAAAGTCAAAGTGGAAGGGATATTATAATAATTCAATGTAAATATATCTGGTGGTTATGCTGCTTATTCTGTTATTTATTGTTGACAAGGTTGACTAGTATTACTATTATCAATTATTGAAAAACTCTTGTGGTGGATGATTGTGTTTGCTGTGGCAAACGTATACTCGTCTAATGCATGGTGATGTTTCGAATGTGAGCACAGAATGGCGCGAAGTTTTATTCGTCGACATTCACACTGTTCATGTGAGCACGTGCGTGGTTGAGATTATGGTTGTAATGTAGTGTGACACATGTAACTATTGTCACTTGAGGATATATTCAGGTAATAGCAAGCGTACCTTAGTCCTGATATTGGCGTACTGCAATTATTCAGTTGTTCAGTAAGAGTTTGAAAGGCTTTTACCTCGTAAAGGATACTGCTACGTGTTCCGTCTGCTATGAGCGTTGAATGGCATGCTGAGTAGATTCATTAGCGTCCGACTTTGAACTAAGTTGAGGATAAGACGGTAAGACTCGCATCAGCTGTCGCGAACTTGGCGACGAGTTTGGTATTATCCCGCACTGTCTCTCTGAAGAGAGCCTCAATTCCTTATGATGCTTGTCGATGACTTAAACTTTGAATCTTAAATGTTAGTTAATTATTGTAGTAGTGATACTACTCATGAAGACTAATCGCGGTCTCAGTCGCGGAACTTCCATTTCTTTCTTGATGAGGACTTCAACTGACACTTGTCTTCCTAACTGTCCTTCCTTGAGGACTTGTACCGAAAGTTGTCTTGAACTACGTTAAAGGGGACTTTTCACTTCCTATTTGACTAAGGACTTTATTGAGAGTGTTTGAATATTGAAAATGTGCCTTTTAAATATATTTGCTGGTCATGAACTTCACTTGAATCTCTTCCCTTATTTTCTGTCCAATCAGAGTGTTCCTCACTTACAGAGCGAGGGCAGTGCCTATTGTGGCTTCATAGTTAATTAAAGGCGTTGTTGTCTGTTGGTCTCGTTGCCTCTGACGCATCTGGTGACAGTATGACAACTTGTTGACAGTGGGAAGGGGGGGCAGTAGATACCGTTTTGAATATAGTTACCGAGCAGAACGAATCCGTACAGATGCCTAATGAGTTGGGTTTTTCCGAGTTTATTATCTTGTTTTTCCAGATGTTTTATGACGCTATTGGTAGATGGTTGTGAGCAAGAAATTTCCGAAAACGACAAATTTACGATGTTATTTTGCCAGATGATTTATTGACAAGGGCCGTTCTTACAATCTCGAACATAAATATTCTAACTATATTTATACAAAAACTTATTTGTTATATTTTTTGATATATAAAAAATACTTTTTTGAATGTAGATTTTTTATATGTAAAAATTAAAATGATAATAATAAAAATAAATATTTCGTTAAAGTACAAAAAATGTATTTTAATAAAATATTAATATTTATAAAGAAAAACTGTTGTTGTTATATAACCCGTAGTCTAAATTAAAATTAAAATAAAATAATAGTCTGAATTGAAATTGCCAACATATGTTATGATATATTACAGTTTTTTTTTTGGTTATTGAAGAACTAATTTGTATTATGCATAATACTTATCAAAGAACATCTATGTTTATTATATTTCTACACATGTATAATCCTTTTTTATTTCATAAAATAAATATTATATTAATTTAAATTAGTATTAATGATCCTCTAAAGATATGTGCATTATATTTATTATCCATTTTTAGGAGTTACAAGTAGGAACTGTTTCCTTATATGGTGTTCATATTGTTTCATTAATAATTGAAAGCCAAGAAAGGCTATGTCTAGCACAAATTAGTAATACTCTCCTAAAACAGTTTAGTTACAACGAGATACATAATAGACGAGTAGCTCTTGGCATAACATGCGTTCAATGTACACCAGTTCAATTAGAAATTCTTCGACGTGCTGGTGCTATGCCAATGTCCTCAAGAAGATGTGGTATGATCACCCGTAGGGAAGCAGAACGTTTATGTAAATCTTTTCTTGGTGATAATGCACCACCTAGGTACTCTTTCAGATTATTAAATACACTTATTAATTTTTAATAAATATTTAAAATATTAAAATTTAGAAATATTTTTTTAAACAATGAATACATATTTCACGCAATTAAAAAATTGTTTTTTCGATAATCATAAAACATTTTTTCAATTGTATTTCGTTGTACTTAATTCATTTATTATAACATGATATAATTATTATTGCTTTTAAGAACAATTTCAAGTCGCTTACCGTCTACTATAAGAATTTAAGACACTTGAATGGAATAGATTAAATATAAAGCAGAATGAATTTTATAAGATAAATAGTGAATTATTTATATAAATACAATCTCAGGGATACCATGAAAGACGTCACATAGATTGCTAGATCAATGATGAACTTTAAATAAACAAAAATTTAGTTTCTTTATTTCAGTGCAATTTATATATTGCTAAAAAGTGATTTATGTGAAATTATTATTTTATATTATTTTGTATCTATAAATATATAGCCTATTATATAATAATAATTTTTAAAGTATATAAAAATAAAATTCTATTAGTTTAAAAAGATTTTATTTAATTTAATTTCTAATTATTTCATAAAATTTTCAACGATTACTTCATTTTGACTTTCTACATAAATCTATTATTGTTTTATTCCAATATAGATTTTATTAAATAAATAATCAAAATGGAATGATGTAAACATAAAAATATATAGTAAGTATAACAATATTATAAAATTAACATAATTATAGATATAGAATTGTCAAAGAAATAAATATATGCTACCAAAAATCAGACATATCCTGATTAATCGTCTTATTGTGTATTTATGTTTAATTTTTCGTATTTGATATAATTATATAAGAAAAACTCAGTGAAAAAAATATTTTAACAATTTATTTATTAAAAAATATATATTAAATTATGAATATTATTAGAAAATGAATTAATAGTCCCATTATTGATATTCAAAATTTGGATTATATATACTTATAAACAGCATATTCTTTCTGTTCGAATTTTAACGTTTTAATTTATGGCTCGAACTGCCATTTAAATAGTTCAGTGGATTAATCTCTCGCAATAGCGATTAGAAAGAAAGAAGGCATAAATGGAAGGGATGAAAAGTATAATGTAATATATTTGAGTTCGATTATTAATTTATTCTGCTTATGAATTATAATATTGTAGCGTTGTTGGTTACTTCTATTGAGATTGAGGAGTATTCTATTGTAGTGGTGTCAGTTCTTTCTTGAGCTCTTGATTGTCTGAGATTTGAATTGCAATTCGCGCTGTGGCAAGTGACACTGATGTGAGATGCCTTACTCAATAATAATACTAATATAGAATTACAATGAGCACTAAACTGAATTTATCGTAGAACAGTACTGAGAGCCAGCCGTGTAGTGACTGACTAGATGTTAAACGTACAGTGTGTAGCGCGTCAAGGGCTGCTCTTAAATATTCACGTAGAAGCTTGCGACATCGGTAGCGCACGGGTGCCTGTTGCTATGCCGATCATTATGGTGACGTCACTAGAATATAGCCTAGAGAGTTCATCGGCATTGCTACTTGGATTTTAGAATCTAATATTCGAGTATTTAGCGTATTGAAATTTCCCGACTTCGCTGAATTGTGTTTATACGTAAATATCCAGGTGTTTATACCTCTCCCACTTTTGTATTCCGCCTTTAGCTGCTTCCATTCCGAACACTTTCAAATAATTATATATTTTTAGTATTAAAGATATAATTATAAATTAACTATATAAATATAATTTAATTTATGGTTACTCTTGATCATTTTTTAAGAGTTGTATGCTGTAGTTTATATTTAAACATTTGATTATATAATATTCATTAGTTGTATTACTTAATTAGTTATTAATAAAACTGCTATTTATAATATGAATATATCATAAGATTTCTTTGCATTGGTGCAAGAGCATGAAAACAATTTCTCTCTTTATAGTCAATAATTAAGAATAAATATAATTTAGTGAAGTACATTTTATGTTAACAACATTATAATATTAAGCAATAAAACTATAGAAAACTAGAAAAAATAGAGTATCCGAAATAGATTTCAACAATTTTTGAGATAGATTCTCTAAGAAGATATTTTATTTTTTTATATGGTTTATGTAAAAGTAATATAAAAATTAATCTGAAAATAACAAGTTTATGACATCAAGAATTTATTCTAACTAAAATTGTACCTTTAAATGTAAAAACTTTTTTTATCAAGAACATGAACATAATTATTTATAAGTTGAATAGTGAACATACTAGATGAAAGTATGTTTTTGATGCATAATTGGTCACCACATTATTGTGTGAATATATAATTCTATCCTGATCTAAAATTATTTAACTAAGGTATGTTAGTCTTTCAAATACGATACTAAATTATCTTTTTACAATCAAAATTACATGTCTACGATTAGTTCTTTGATATGACCAACTTGCTTCACGTTCAAATAAATCAGTATCAATAGTAATATTATTAACTACGTGGATTCTCAATACAATCATAAGAACTTCCATTTATATTAAAAGTATTTGTACGTTGAATTTTGTTAGAGTACAATTAATGACCAAAACTTGATCATTTAAATAACGAATTCTCTAAAAAAAGCTTTTCTTGCTGACGAGTTTATTAAGTACTGTTCTATTTTGAATAATTAGTATTTCGATCATTTTAATTTTTATTGCTACTATACTGAGCAAAAATTAAAAAATATATTTAGACTATCATATTTAACATCATACAAAAGTAACTATATATCATAACATACACTTTGGTCTTCGACTATTTTCTGATGGCTGGAATTCCAAACAATACCTATAATACTTAAATGAACTTAAATCATACGAGTTTTATAATTAACTGCAAGACAAAATAATAAATACTGTTCTCTTTTTAATTTTATAAAGGTAATTGTTCGAACTGCGAGATAAATATGTATTATGGAAGCATTTATTTTATATGTTAAACACTCATAACGGTTAGTTAAAGCCTAAAAATTTAAGAAACTGCACTATATTTTCATCTAATCTCAGTTTAAATATGGTTAACAATTAGGATCATTAAAAGTATAAACAACATAACTTATAGATTATTATAACGTGTCATTCTACATTTGTTCCAAATTAGATAAACTATCATTTCTAAATTAAATTACAGACAACATATTCAGCAAGTGTTAATAAGTAAGCTGATATTTTAAAGTTTTAAATCTGCAGCCATTTTTTAAAGTCGATTCAATGTTATACTTAAAGAATAGTCGATAAAATATACTGTCACGAACATATTTAAAAATTGTATTTAGTGAGTTTCGAAACTCTCAAATGCAATCTTTACATAAAAACGAAAAGTCAAGATTTTGTTAGTATATTAACTTTTTAATGGATATTTAAAATTCACTGCTCTAAACATTTATTTAATACTGAAAAACTTTTGCAACTATTGTTTCAAATTTGTTTCGTATGCATTATTAAAATAAAATGCAATAATTAAATTTCACTAAAATAACCTGAATTCTACTTATAGATTCGGTACTTGTATTTCTCAAAATCAAAAAGGGATATGCAATAAAAAATTATGTATTCACATTTTCTATTTATATACAACTTCTGATCTAATAAAACGCCAAATGTAGATAAAAACCATATATTGAAGACATGTAGTTTAAACAAAAGTTTCACTTAATTTAAAAGAATAATATCTATGAACTTACGGCAACAACAGTTGAACCACAACTATTAGTTAATGGTGATTTTTATAGACCTGGATATATATATCGAATTATAAAAGTCGTAAATTTCACATGAATATCTAATACAAAATTTCTGAAATGATAGGTAAATCCAACAAAAATAACCAAAAATAATATTATACCAAATTACTTTACAAAATATGTTCAGATTTTACTATTCATTAGATAGAAGAAAATTAAAACAAAACCGTAGAATTAAAAAAAAATCATTATTCCAAACCAGTTTCTAATTAAAATTATATGAATTTGCTGTAAAATGTACACCATTTTAATATTCAAATAATCTAGTAATAGCATATTAAATTAAATTTAATATATTAGTAAAATTCAACAGAATAACTATATTGAAATAAGATGAATTAAATAAAATTTTTCTATCTTGGAAAAATTATTGCATCAAAGAATTTGAACGTATTATTGCAGGAAAATTACTGTTACTACTGAGATTTTATATAATATTTTTAAACACAATAAACAACCAAATAAAGCATTTTATACAAATTTGTTGTATATTTCATACCTAATATGTGAACAAAAATATATTAATACCTAAAAATATAGTCTTTCCTTTTATTAAATATAATAAATAATGAATAGTTAATAATCTATGAATATCGAAATGAGTGTATGATAGAATGAATAGATGAGTATTTCTTCATTAATGTTGGTGGCGATAAGTCTGTACGTGCAATCTTGATAGCCTGGAGCGTGATTCCCCTTCTTCCTTTGGGTTGAGAAGTTGTAGTTGGAGACTCTTGGTGGTAGGGGCAGCAAGTTGGTGCCGTCTTAGCAGCCGGCGTGGGGTGAGCTGTAGTGTGCGGAGTGGTGAGAGAACGTCCGTGTAACGTTACTGTTTGTGTACGTAAGCTCAAATTTGTATATATTGTATATGTAATTGTAGTCGTGTTATTGCTGCACGTTCGTGTGCTCGATGTAGGCGTAAACCGCGGTGTAGAGATAAGATGTAAGAACGAACGTCGGCGTTACTTACATGCGGGCGTAAATCGCGAGTGTAGAGTGGCGGTCCTGTCGTGATGGATGCTTGTTAACTAGTAAGAAGTAGTAAGGAACGAGCGTCTGCGTTGCTTACGGAGACGTAGGTGCCGGTATAGTTGTGGCATCGCTATTAGTTCCTTAGGTTGCTTGATACTTGCCATGGCCTCACAATGGCGATTGCAGGGTTGGATAGCGAGCCCGATGCCGAGAGTGCGGGATTGGTACTAGCAAGAATTTATC